GGCGAGAGCCACAAGTTGTAGTTGAATGCGGAAAAGACAAAGACAATCTTAATCGGCTCCAATCACCTCCTTAAAAACACATATTCCAACTCTATTCCTACATGATAATCCCTTCAAATTTTATCCGTGTATCAAAAACCTTGGAATTACCTTTGATCAAACGCTTTCCTGGAAAAACAATGTATCCAACATATAACGCCGTACAATTTCCACCTTAAAACGTCTAAACTGCTTCCGTCACCTATTTTCTCCTTGAAACATATTTCCCCTAGTCACTTCCTTAATTTTTCCCTAATTTGACTATTGCTGGTATATGGGGGCGTCTCCTGGGGGTCTCGAGGCGAAACTAAAACGTTTGATAAATTACTTTGTACGATCCATCATCGGTATCCCAAGGGACGCCTCTGTTTCTCGTTTACCTTCTGATTTATACATAAGAGCCCACCGAACCGCTGCTTTCGACTGATCGTTCATTATTCGATCCTCATCCTTATGGAACTCCATCTCTTCTTATATTCGTCAATCCAATACCCTCCCTATCTTTAAATCCCGTCTGTTTAATCATTTCTTATCCATCCAGTCCTCATAAAATTGTAAATACATACCACTGTAAATATGTATATAAATTATTAGATCGTTCTTCATTATTTTCAATTTTTTATTATTAACTTATTTAAGTTAGAAAGTTAAGAAAGAAACTTTTATTTATTATGATTATTTAATTACTCAGCATTTTTTTATGTATCTCTGAGGCTCCTTAGCCCACATTTCTGTCCTTCTGTATTATTCTAAAGGGACTTGTCCCAGAATGAATAAAGTATTATTATTATTATTATTAAGCTAAGTATATTTTACAGTTATAAAGAAAACGCTGTTAGAAGAAGTAAGATCATGAAAGACAGACCCCTGAGAGTCATGGATAACGCAGTCTACTGGGTGGAGTACGTTCTTCGGCACAGAGGAGCTCCTCACCTGAGATCTGCGGCTGTAGAACTGTCTTGGTACCAATATCTGCTCCTTGATGTGATTGTAGTTTGGGGGGCAGTCTTAGTTGTGGCTTTATTATTGTTAAGGAAAAGTATCAAATGTATATGTAAATTAAGGAAAACAAAAAGTAAAAAAGACTGATTAAATACTTAAGGCATAGCCGAATCAAGAGTAAAGTATCAATCTGTAACTGACCTGTATTTTATATATTTATATACCCTGAATTGTATTAAATATATTCTAATGGCATTTATTATATACTTAATAAACAACATGTACATTATTATAAAAAACAAATATTGCTATAAATGTTTAGAGTATCTTCTTAATAACACAGATATTTATTAAAACTGTCTTATTTCTCCACGTTTTTTGAAGGTTAAAATACTTTAAGGATTTATTCTTAGACTACCAAGATAAGTTACAAGAATAACTTATGGAAATGGATTTTACACTTGAGTTGAAAACCTTGAATTAATTTATTCCAGCATTTTGCTTTGTGGCAGTGTCTCTGACCTCAAATGGGCATAAAGATTTCTTTTAATTTTTTTATCGTTAGATTTATAAGGAAAAACAAAATAAAAAAGCTGGAGGATAGCTTCTTCCGAGACAGTGTGTTATGTTCTCATAAGTGCGAAGGAAAGTTGAGAATAGTATATGTATATATATATATATATATATATATATATATATATATATATAATGTGTTTGTGTGTGTGTATGTATATATATATATATATATATATATATATATAGATAGATAGATAGATAAATGTGTGTGTATATATATATATATATATACTGTGTGTTTATGAAAAGCAATAAAACAAAGATTATATCCACATCCTTTGAATATATTTTTTGTTTAAATTTTAATTCCAAAAATCTTTCATTTTCATACATATTTTTAATATTTCATACACATGTTTTAAATATTCATCTTCAAAAGAGTTGGTATTATTAGTACTATTAATTATTCATTAAAAGGAAAGCGAAAACATAATCTCAGTTCTGCTCTACCGGACCATCAGCGAAAATGAAGTGTAAAAGTTGTAAAGTTAATTTGCAACAGTAATAAAGTTAATAACAAAAGTTTTGTAAAAAAAAAAGTCTTCTCAATGCGTAGAGAAAGAAGTACTTTGTTAATATGAATAGAAGCCTTAGATTAGCCAGAAAGATTTAATTTATTCATCAGTTATCCGTCTTTTGGATAGAAAAAATAAATAAAACCAATAAGCCTAAAACTTTATTATTTCGAAGCAAAATTTTGTGATCGTTTAAACAAGTAATACTTGGAAATGGAAATTAAAAACAGTATTAATTCATAAAGTTTGAAGTTGAGGAAAGTTAAATGAACTCCTACCAGAGGATAAAAAGAAAAACATTCGATTTTAATTCAACCGTTTATTAAAAAATAGTGGTAAATCACTTTTCGTGTTAATTTTTTTTTTTTTTTTTTTTTTTGTAGGAAAATCATTACAGAAGTTCATCCCATTTCTTGCCGAGTGAGTTCATTGGAAAACTTTAAAGTAATATTTTACACCATTTGGTATTTTAAAAGGTTGATTGGGTTTTTTAAATATATCAAGCATCAAAACAACAAGTAGGGGGGGGGGAGGGGAATCTGATCCCTTATTCATATCTGGGAATAAACAAAACAAGAGAAAATCCCCCTCGTTCCTTCAACGAAAACATGCCAAACTGATTCTGTCCAGCAGACAGGGCTGCCAAAACAAACACCAGACAGTACCTACCCGCTGCCTTATAAATAATTCTGTGGCAATCGGATATACCTCGAGTTCCCTTTCTCGCACGCCATATTTCGTATTTAAATTTTAAATGACTATTGGTTTATGATAATTTCAAAGGTTTAGCAATATCTTCTTTTTAAACAAGCCAACAATAGGTAATGGCCATTTTCCATATTGTGTTTAGCAGTTTCGTTTAAAGCGAGCTTGCACACTTGCATTATAGTTAACATGTGTTTTTTAAAAGTAATAACGCCTTAGTATGTGCCTACGATGAATCCATACTTCTCCGGACCCATTCCGTTACTGTTGCTCCTGATCATACTGTCGGATGACGGCGCTAGGGTACTACAGTACTCGCAGTACACAACCACCTTTTCATGTTTAAATATTGTAAAAAAAGCTCGGTGAGAAGGCTATTAGGCTTGAGCCGAAAAGGCTCGAGCTTTCCCGAATCGGCCAAGGCTCGAGTCCTAAGTGCTCGCTTTGTTTGTGGAGTTAAAACATTTTTCGGTCTGGGAGTATATGAATTGTTTAACTGCCTGAAATTCCAAATCGTTTAACATCTGGGTTATGCTTGTGTATCTGGGATAATAAAGATTTAAGTCTGTTCTCTAATGTGTCTATTATGTAGAAACTTGTGTAAATGGCCGTGTCGTCTTCATACAATGATCTTTCTTCAACTATTGGTAGTGAAGGGAGATCGGATATGTACAGGTTAAAGAGTATAAGAGAAAGACAGGATCCTTGGGAAAGACCAGCTTATGGGAAATGTTGGAGTGATGTAGAGTTCTTTATGACGCTCTAGAAGGAACTGTTGGAACGATATGATTGGATAGTGTGTATGATCTACTGTGTGGAAATCGGTAGGTTATAAGTTTATATAATAATCCATTGTGCCATATTGTGTCGAATGCTTTTTCGATATCCAGTAAGATCATCGATATATCAGTAAGATCATCATCGTATGCTTTTTTTCATTAAATCCTTCAGTGATGCAATCAGTTAACATGGCGAACTGGGCTACAGTGGAATGTTGAGTTCTGAATCCGAACTGTTCGTTAATCTCAATCTTTTTGAGGGATATGAAGTTATTTATTCTCTTTAAAAATATTCTTTCAAATATTTTTGATAGGATATTGAGCAAACTAATTGGCCTATAATTTCCGACTTCTGTTAAATCTTTATTCGGTTTGGGTAACGGAATGACGTTTGCTGTTTTACTGGCAGTAGGGGAGTGTCGAAAGTGGAACATGGTATTGATAATTTTTGTTAGATTGTGTATTGCTTTTTTGATAAGATTCTTAATGACTATTGGAGGTATAATAACATCACCTGGAGGTTTTTTTGTTTTAGAAATTTAATAATATTGTTTGTTTCTTTTAGTGTAACTAGTGTTGCACAAATGCGAGATCGATACGAGTCTTGGTCTTGCAAACTCAGTCTTGGTCATGGTCTTGGTCTTGCGCAAGAGTCTTGCAATTACTTATTATCTTATTACTATAGAGATATTACTGTAACTTTTTAGATAGAAGAAACTTCATTAAGCCGGAATGAGAAATTAACGGAGTTAAATGCAAAAATATATTGATTATACTAACGTACCATTTTCTAGATATTCTTCAAACTCTTTCATTTTTATCTCCAGTGTTAAGTACTAATCTCGTTTTAACATTTTTACATTCCTCAAGATTTAAAGATTGGTATTTTATTTCCTATTAAGTCAGTTACCAAAGAAGTCAAGACAATCGAATCTATACAATAAGAAATAAAAATTAATATTTATTATAATTACCGATTCAGTTCCTTGTCCCCTGATGGATACTTGATCAAATAAAGTCGATTACTTAACCGACAATTAAATAAATAAAAAAACAATTTGGAAACAGCAGAAAAAAAATAGGCTTTTAACTTGTTTTTTTTTTTTTTTGCTTCCCAATATCGTTATGTTTCTGTAAAAAGCAAAAACCTTTAGATACCTTAAGTAAACAAGTTTCATTTATTTCTCTAAATGTTTCCATGTCGGTGACAAATATGGATCTCCTCGTTTCACAATAGGTAATTTTTTTTCTTTCATATATAGTCTGTTGCAAGAAATACATTACAACTATTAATACACATTTTCAAGTTATAGTACTGATTGATAAGATTTTTATTTAAAAAAATTATTTTGTTATCAACATCGTCGATGTCAAAATTCATACGTTATCTCAGAAGTTTGTGAGATAAGTACTTTAGCATGATTAAGGAGGTCTGAGGAGGATTATGGTCGAACCCCCACAGGTGAGTTCGAAACACTCTCAATATTTTAATATATTCTCGCTCAATTTTATTAGGTAGTTCATTCTTTTATAACCAGTTTATTAAGGAATATGAACATAGTAGGTTTTGGCTCTTACAAGGAAAAATTAAGAGAAAAAAATTTTGATTGCATATCTTCTGTTCGTGTTTGTTTACGGAAATCGTAATTATATAATTTTATGTAATAAGGCACTAATACCCTTGATAATATCAGATCTTTTTGTATGTAACGTAAATTTTTACGTATATTAACATTTAATATACATAATATTAACAAATCATTTATGCTTCTTGGATTTTACATTTCAAAAAATAATTTCTTGTAATGTAAACACTAGTTACGTTTATTATATGAAATTTAGATTGTTCATGACGCTGAGATTACCAATACTATTTTTAGAGAACTTACACAATCAGTATTATTGAATCAATATCGAATTCCATCAATATATTGGACCATTTGAGGTAATGACTATATTGCGTCAATTGTATTGACATCAATCTAACATATAAATCTAAATAATACTTAAATAAGTTCAGTTACAATTATAGGATTCCGTGCCAACTATGTTGTTTAAATATTTTTTTAAGTAACCATACTCCAGGACCATCCTGAATTCTGCTTCTTACCGTAGTTTAATAAACCTATTGGGGTGCGCCCGTCTTCCTCAAGTAACACGGTCCATTGTTTACAGAAAGGAGTACTTTTCTGCTCCTCAAGCAGTTTCTCGTTTCTCTTGTAGGAATTTCTCTATTTCATTCCTTGCTGGATGGTATGTTATCTTATTCTCCATCTGGAATAATGTTTCTCTCTTCGATGCTGCTGTTTCTATCAGTCTAGTAAGAAACCTTGTATAATAAATGAGAATTTACTGAATCATTGTGCTAATTTGGAAAATATTGGTATCGAAATTTCTGAAGTTGACGATGTGTGATCTTAAAATCCAATACGAACGCTGAAAATCACTTAACGTGAACGAATAATGGTTTAATCAAAACTGCAATGTACTTAAAATTTATTGCAAGACATTTGTCTACAATATGTTTGTGTTTACACAAATATTCTCCCTCCTCTATGTATTGCATTAACTATTATTATTTATATCACTTACTTCTTGAATCCTCAGAAATATTTCTGGGGAAGAGAAAAAAAAATCTAGCTCATCTCGAGTTAAGTTTATCTCCCAAGGCTACCCAAGTTTCTTACACGTTTTCTTTTTTTATTAGATTCCGTCAAATTGCCAGAAGGTGGATTTTTATATTGCAAAAACGGTAAATATTTCCTATCCAATAATTGAGAGTACAATTATTTTCTATCCATAACGAAACAAGCGATGGCAAGAAAATAAATCAAACAAAAAATCATTGTTTTCCTAAATTATAATAATATGGTAATAAAGGCACGATACAGCATTTTATTTTTATTGCGCAGTATTATATTATTTTATGACAATATGATCAGTAGAATTCTGCCCTTCACACACTAGTTTTTTTGATATTTTAATATTTTGCTTCCAACAAGATGCTTTGCTGTTGATGCGTTGTTGGTAGGAGTTTCGGTCCTCAGAATCAGAAATATCCAATCGCTTTTTCTGTTAGAACCTAACGGATATCAAGGAAAAAGTTTCGCTTCGTTTCCGTCTGACTCCATTCAAATCCATTTGACGGGTCGAAAAACTTATTCAGGATATAGCAACCCCTGAATCTTGACAAAACCAAAAAAAAATATGGTTCTTCAGGCCTCACCACCATTTTATTGGCTTTTGTTTGATGCACAGAGCATATTTACTGCACAATACTGAGCTCGAGATCAGACAAGTGCAATATAAAAGGAGTATTGTTAACTTTCTTTTCCCTGAAGAAAGAAATGCAATGATGACCTATAAGGCAAATTCAATAGCCTGGTAAAGGAAGGATGGAGGGAAATGGAAGGTGAGCATAAAGGAATCATTTTACTTTACAATTATAGTGCTCTGAATTCCAAATATTTTCGTTTGAATAATTAATGAGTAATTTCTTTTGAAGTCACAATTTTTGTGGCTGTCGGAAAAATTTCTGAAGGTTTTGCCTAGACAAATTTTTTTTTCTTCAATTTCTATAAAAAATAATATAATATAAAAGATGAGTGAAAAACGAATATTAACTTCTTTTCTCCCTAAAAATAATTTACTAACACATTGCTACATCGGTTAGTTGCCATCGTTCCCTCTAGGGAAATGTTTTTTTTTTTTTTAAACCAGCTTGTATCTAGAGTATATTATTTAGGAAGAAAAAAGTTTTATAGTCGTATTTCGTACTTCGAAAATTCCGTTGTTAAAAAAAATTTAAAAAAGGGTTGTTCAATTTAGCTCAAAGTTAAGGATCAGAATAGAAATGGTGACGTATCAATTTTATTGCTTTCTATCCGCTACTTTCCAATATGTATGCGCGATGGCGTTTTCCTCGATACGTCTATATATCAAAAAGAGCTTATTCGATTTGAACCAAAATTGGGGAATGGTATAAAGATGGTCTACTAACAATTTCATGGAAGTCCATTTAAAATTTACATTGTAGTAATATGTGTTTCTTATGGTTGAAACAAAATTGAAACATAATATGGACGGAACACCTTAAAAAATATTTACTTTATATTTTTCTTGCTATGAATATATAATTTTATTTAGAGATACATAATAATTTAATCTTGATAAGATAAAACATATTGAAAATCAACGGAGCCAAATGGTTTACATATTTATCGAACCCATAAAGCCTTGAAATGTTAATAGCCACTTCTGACATCCACTTTAAGAAATGGACATAAGATATATGAATGACCCATCTTAGTCATCAATGTCAAATCTATTAATAAAATTTGAAACAACAACACTTGAGTAATATTTAACATGCATAAGGATAATGCATGTTTCATAACACATCAACAAATGTTACTGTAGGAGTAATTTGTTTATGACTTCTTTATGGCCCAAATGATATCTGAATATCCAATTATATATATATATTAAATCTTGCTTGCCTTTCTTATCTAACATTTAATTTTTTTATTTATTTATTTATTTTATTTTAGCTGCGCATCTAGCAAATTTGTTGTATTTTTATTGTCTTGGTGTAATTGCTTGATTTTTTTTTTTTTTTATTGATGTAGTAGGTCTCTTGGCCATTTTCTTCTTAATATTCGTTGCTCAGGTAACAGGGAGCAGGAGATAGAAAGAACTAGAGGATTGGAGTGATTTTGGGTTGAAGAATGAAATGTAGTGTATTTGTCGTGGATGTAGGATTTTACTGTTGGGGTGTTTAAGTCGTTATGTATAGTAGTGTTTGAAATGTACCAAGGTGCGTTAACAATTTTTCGTAAAAATTTTTATTGTGCTGTTTGTATTTTGTTTATGTGTGTTTGTTTTGCTGAACCCCAAAGTTCTGCTCCATATGTCCATATTGGTCTGAGTAAGGTGTTGTAGATAAGTCGCTTGTTTCGTAAGTTAAGTGAAGATCTGTAGTCCAGAAGATGTGAAAGTTGGCTATATCGTCTGGTAAGTTCTTGTCTTTTTAATTTCGTATGTATGTTCCAAATAAGTCTTTTGTCTAAGTAGAGTCCAAGGTACCGTACATAGTTCTTCATACATTTAATAATTTTAAAAAATGGTACTCTCAATTCTAAATGTTTTATTTTTTTTATTTCAGATCTTCAAGATGAAAGGAGCCATTTTTGTTTTAATATTCTCCGTAGTGAACTACTGCCATGGATACAACATATTGGTGATGATGCCAGTGCCATTCTATAGCCACACTAAATCTTACTTACCACTATTTATCGAATTAGCAAATAGAGGGCATAATGTCACCATGGTCAGCCCGTTTCCATTAAAAAAACCCGTTCCGAATTTCAACGAAGTCATTATAGACAACAGTTTAGAAAAACTAGGTTGGTATTTACTTGATTGTTGATATATTAACATTTCAAATGTGTGTAAATTTATATATTGAGTTATTTTTATAAAACTAGTAGTGGGACCCTTCTGTCGCAAAGATGGTCAAGAGTGAGAAACTCCAGTTCATGTATTGGACAGATATCCTAATAACATGCTCCTTGTCCAATAATATAAACCATGGAATTCCCGAATTACTCGATACGGAAGGCTCAGCGAGATTCGTAGATATCTTAATCTTAGCATTTAATGTGAAAGGGGAAGGTGCTCTTATAGTTGATCCTACAATTAGATTCGAAACAAACGATGATGATCAAGATTTCAAAATACAAAAAGTGATATCTATAAAAAATGCATTCCATACCCAGGGGTTCCCATCCTCTCCCCAACCAAGGTCGATGGCGCAAGAACCTACCCTCTCATGCACAAGATATTTTATTGCTCGTCTTTTCTTAAAAACAGAGCAAGGAGAAGTAGAATTAGAAAAATCGTAGATCATAAACAATTACACTTGCTGCTGTCTGTTCCATCTTTTTCTCATGTCCCTTATTCTGAAAGTTTTCATTCCGAAAATTCATAATCTCTTTAAAATGTGTTCCCCTCAAAAATTCAAAAACCCTTCGAAATATGTCCCCCTCACAAATTATGATGGCGCAACTTGCGCTATAAAATCCCCTTCGGGCACCCCTGTCCATACCGACAGGAGAAATATAGAGAGGAATTCGGGTAGAGAGAATTTTCGGTTCGAGGACTTTGATTTGGAAGTAAAGGAGCTTTGATTCCACTTCCAACTGCTGATTTCTTCGAAATGCTGCGTGTGTAAAATATTCATCTGCAGAGATTGCCTGAATCTATTATTCTTTTGACTCACTTTGAATCCTGCACGACCACTTATATTAATTCTGGTCAATACGCTATAAAATCTAGTGGCAGATATGGGAAGGAGGAGAAAATTATAGCAATGAATGAATAAATTATAAAACATTCGGTACTTTGGATGTTGGTCAGCTAGAGCTTTATTCCTTATTTGTTCATTCTCACTAGACATCAGCCGATTAAGATTGATCAGAATCCAGGGTGTTTTAGCTGCTCTACTCAACTGGGCGTTTCAGCAACTGGGTATTTACTAGATTACCTGGTACTCTTTGAATTTCAAGCTTCTGATAGCAGATGAAAAGACTGATATATATAAAACCACCAAAACCAAGAAAAAATTATCAAAAATCAATTAACTTACTAGTTTTACGTGGCTCATAAAGACAACAAGACCAAATGAGACATTTAATTCTGAAAAAAAAAAAACTGAACTGCTACAATGTAGTTGACCTCTAAACACATGTAAACTGAACTCGGTGGAAAAAATGTGAACTTGATATGATGATGAAATGAAATGAAAATAATTTCAATATCATGGGATTAGTGTCCCTTTAGAACAAATTATAAATGGAGAATATATAAAACATGTCAGTGTGGTCATGTGGTTAATTGAATATTTACAAAACGACAGTTAATATAAAGTAAAAATACACAGAGAAAGAGAGAAACAAAAGCATACATATATATAAAACAAACAGAGAAACATTAAACATAATAAATAAACAAAATAGTATCTAACAGTACTTAGAGAGTTCTCTTAAGTGTATTTCTTGATCAATCGGAGTGGTAATAGAACAGGCGCTTAAAGAGGAGACATTTGAAAGAGGAAACCGATTGTGTGAGTCGAATATTGGGACGGAGACGGCTCGAATTACAAAGGATTCGTCAAAAGCAGCAGTTCGGTTAAGAGAATGATAGAGGTCGGACGTACGGGATAACATTGTAGGCTCTGTAAAATATATGAGGTAGCTGAATTCTAATAGGTTGGTATAGGAAGATAGCAAGGTACTGAGCCACTTCAATTTAGTGTAATGCTGGGTAATATGCGTATGACATGAGATCCCGAAGAAAATACCTATTGAGCAATTCATTAAACGTTTAAGTTATTTTTTATTTAGTTCGGGTTCGAGTTCTTCTGAGCATGGGTGTAGAATTTCGATTCAGGTTGGGGGAGGGGAGAGAAGAGGGACGATTGACTCCACCCAAAAAAGTCTCGGAAGTTTAACTGGGATGTTATCTGGTCCGAAATCATTGGTTTGGGATTTAAGAATGGATTTGGGGAGGTCGTTAGCAGTAATATGGGGAAAGAAAAAATTATTAGGATTGAAGGATGTGCTTGAAGCTGGAAAGGTGGGAGAAGCAGGAGACAGAGTAAGTCGACGGAAATAAGGATGGACTGGATTCGGGAGGATTTACATAAGGACAATTAACGAAAGATAGCCCTCTTGGCTGTGAAGTTTAGAGTGCTCGATAGGTATGGAATGGTGGAAGTAATGGGGTTTGGTACGAAGGTATTAAGGATTGAGTACTCTTTCGAAGGAGTTTGGTATATTTGGTATAGTCTTTGGGAAGTCGAGAGCGTTTAAATCTCTGTCAAGCCCCACATCTTCGTTTCACGCAATCTTTCACCATAAGTGTCCGCCAAGGAGCTTTTTTTTTTGTCCTTCCCTACCTCGCTTTTTAGGCTATACGGGATTTTCCTGGGCCGGAGGGTGAGGGCGAGGAATTTAAAATCCCCTCCGGCACCGGGATGCGAACTCATACTTTTTTAATCTTCTCAAATCTCTTATCCGGTTGCCAGGCAACTCGCGGTGCAGTGCACACGCTTTAGCCCATTCGGCCACCCCGCCCCCTTTCCGCCAAGGAGCTGTGAATATTTGATTTTCATGGTGCAGGATAGTGTATAGATGATTGATTAGAGTTTCTAACATAAAATCGACGGAATTTGAGTGTCCCATTGGACAGTGTCACAATATCAGAGGTCGGGGGGGAGGAGGCAGCTGAACAGGAAGATTATAAGAAACTTGCATTAGATCGTAAGCAAACAAAAAAGGAACCGAGTGCTGTGATAAAGCGAGGAGTTTAATAAAATAATAGAGCTGTAAGGGACTATTTAAAGATTAAGGTAGTAGATGAAGAAAGGAAATAATAAATTGGTGTTGAAGTCTCCGGATAGAACCATATTAGAGTAGGAAAGGATCAGGTTGTAAAGGATGGTCTCGAATGTTTTATCAAAGGATATTCTTGATAGATAGGATAGATGACATCAACAATTAATGGATCTAAGGAAGTGAATATTTCTGCAAATAAGATATTCGATATGAGGGGAAACGAATAGAGGAGACAAAACGAGGATATTTGATTTCAGGCTACCGTGAACAAAACGTCTCTCTATCATGACGGAGTAGGGTATAATTAAGGAGTGAAACTTGGGAGGATGGGATTGTGAATTTAGGTGCAGAGACAGTAATTAAATGAAAGAAAAGGAAACAAATTGTGGAATTCAACAATTTAGGCTAAAAGTGGCTGTGCATTAACATGGGAAGTTGATACAAAATTTGTCACAGGAAATAGAAGATAAGAATAGTGAACCGGTAGGAGGAGCTAAAGAGAAAAAAATAATTATGTTGCGTTGATCACAGATATATAGGAAATACTGAAACCATATTCACAGAGCTAATGAAGAGACTACAAGAAAATGGACAGAATCAATAATCCAGATCTTCCTATAATTAGAGGAGAGATAATAAACAGCAAGTCCGCATAAAAAATAATAGAAACATACTCCACTGAATAATGAGAAGTAATAATAAAACAGATCAGAATAATTACTGCACCAGGTGAAACTAAAATATACACATAGAGTATATTTTAAGTAAAGGAAAAATTGAAGTTATAAAAAATAAGTAAACAGAAAAAAGTAATTGGAAAGCGACGGGCTAAGATTAAAAATTAATTAAAAGAATAATTAAAAAATTTATCTTAAATAAGATTTAAAATATAATATCACATAGTACAATTATAATTTTTTCTCGCTTTTTTTTTTTTATAGGAATGGACGAAATGGATGCAAGAGACTTTGAAGAAGTAGGATTTTTTTCTAAAATTATTATGTTCCAGTTATTTTGTCCGAAAGTGATTGACGTTACAATGAAATCTGAAGGTTTGAGAGCATTTCTGAATGATACGGATTCGAAATTCGATACGGTCATCACGGAGACATTTTGTTGCCAGGAACCATTTATCGCATTAGGCCACAAGTATGGTGCTATTCAAGTTTCTGTAGTACCCGTGGCTCTATTTTTAAGTTTGGCTCGCATCACTGGAAATCCGCATATTCCTGCTTACATATCCTCAGACATGTCAGCTTCGGATCAAGTGGACTTTTGGCAGAGGTCGAAAAACACACTTGCCAGCGTTCTGGGGTATTTTGTAACCCACACATCATGGATTTATTTGGTACCCCTTCTCTAGTTTTGTTTCTCATTAAATTATAATTATAAACGTTCGTGCCAATAATTAATATGTTATTTCAGGACCATTATATGAGACAACAATTTGCAAATCATACTGGTTTTGATAACATGCCACCGATCGTAGATATGTTTAAGAATATATCTCTGCTACTTTTGGACAATCATCTGGCAATATCCTACCCCCGTCCGTATCTTTCAAACGTAGTGGAGATTGGTGGACTGACCATTACGGAAGGCGATAAACTTGATGAAGTAATTGACTTTTATTAATATAAATCTGATCTTAAAATAGATTTTTTGCATGTTTATTTTTATTTATCATTTAAAATGACGGAGATACCGTTGACCGTTGATGTAATAAAAACGATGTTTGAAATTGCGATCAAGAAAGATAGGTGACACCAGAACGTAATGGATCTAAGGAGATGGATAATTATTTAAATAAGATATTCGATATGAGGGGAAACAAATCGAGGAGACAAAATGATGATTTTTGATTTCAGGTTACTGTGGACAAAAATTCTCTCAGGTTTCAGATGCAGCGATTAGGTGAAAAAAGTTGTGGTGAAGAAATCATGAAATTCATCATTTTGGGCTAAAAGTGGCTGTGCACTAATATGACAAGTTCATAGAACATTAATCATAGGAAATGGAAGATTGGGTTAGTGAATCGGTAGGAGGAGCTAAAGATAATGAAATAATTATGTTGGATTGATCAGAGATACATTGGAAATACTGCAACGATAATCACAGAGTTAATGAAAACAAGAGACTACAATAAAATGGATAGAATTAATAATTCAGATAATGTCCTATAATTAGAGGAGAGATAAGAAACAAAAAAACAGCAAGGCCATATATATATAAAAGAGAGCAGAAACCTACAACGGTGAAAACATACAGTAAGGTATTTTATTATACCTTGTCTTCTGTTGTACGATATATGGAAGCTCAACAACAAACTAAAACGTCAGATAAATTTCTTTGCCCGATTCGTCTTAGAAATCCTGAGAGAATCACCTGTCTCCCGTTTTTACGAAGATTTGAAATGGCTTTATTATTGCTACCACCGTAAGTATTTTGTAGAATCCTTTCTCTCTCAAGGTGTTCGATCCCACCACCCCTCATACATCTCCGAGTTCCTTAAATTCAAATCCTCTGTTCAGTCTGCAACACCTGTTCACGGCCTTCAGATTTATATATAACGACCCACCGAACTGCAGCTTTAGACAAATCTTTCATTATTGGATGCTCGATCTAATGGGAATCCTTCCCTTCCAACATTTGTAGCTTCAATACCGTTCCCAATTCTAAATTCCGGCTATTCAATCAATTCCTATCCAATCAATATCCATACATTTTGAAATAGGTGTTCCTATAAATATAAATGTACATTATTAGTTTGTTTTTAATTATTAATTTTTTTATTGAATAATGTTAAAAGTTGACTTTCAATCTTTTATTATTTTTAGTTGATTCATTTTTTATTTATCTCTGTGACCCTAAGCTCAATATGGTGTTATTATAATTCAAAGGGATCTGTCTCAGAATAAATAAAGCATAATATTATTATGGTATGATTCTGGTTTAATGTGGTCTAAAGTTAATATATATCTTGTATTATAATTCATTGTCAATTTCTTACTTTTTATGTGACATTTTCGTTTTTAATGTATTATTGGTAACCATTTTTATTTAAGTTTTATTTATTTATTTAATCTAGTAAATACTATGGCCAGAAATAAAAATTATTTATTTTTGTTATTCTCAAGAGACTTTTTTTGTTTTAGGTTTTTTTATTCTATTCAATATAATTTTTGTACTCTACAAATATTTTTTTGGGAGCAAAGCGTGGGACAAAAATAAGTTAAAATTATATTGACATAAAGTATATGAATAGTCAAGTATTCGAACAAAATTTGTTCATTAAATTATTGTGGTTTCAATGCCATTTCAAATTGTAACTTTGTTCGAGAAATGAATAATAATGTTTCTTTAATTTAGAATTCATCTGATATAAAAATGCTTGTTTTATTTTTTATTATCTTTTTTTTAGGAATGGGAGAAATATATGAATGAATCAGTTGACGGAGTAATATACTTCAGCTGGGGATCCCATTACCCAACTAAACATATTAGACCTCATGAACTCACTGCTTTCATGTCAGCATTCGGAAAGCTAAAACAGAGAGTACTGATGAAAGCGGATGTAGATACACTGCCGGGGAAACCTGACAATGTAAGGCTCGCCAAATGGCTACCTCAAGCCAGTATACTAGGTAATTATTAATTGACATCGAGATGATTATTAATAAATTCAATTAAACATTATATATATATATATATATATACGATAGGTACGATATCGGGGGTCATTAGATACTATCGATGAGAAAATATTGAATATCGATATTTTGATAATATCGATTATATATATGGCAAAATATCGCATATCGGAAAGAAAACATCGATACTTCGATAATAGAACTGGGTATCAGAATCTTTATCACACAGTTGTGCGCTTTTAATTTGAGATTTGTTGATTTTTTTCGGGATTTCAAAATCTTTGATAGAAAGCAGAATAAAGTTCTGTTTGCCTTTTTTTAAACATTATTCTGTTTCTGACCGTTCATCATTCATCGTGATTTTTGTGGAGCTGAGGTATTTCAATTTGTCTGTCTACTTTCGTAAATGATTGCCCTTCTAAGCAGATAATGTTACTGGAATGAACTCATTGTTATTATTTTGTTATTGTTATTATTTATGTGTTTATTGTTATTATTGTTTTAAAGAGAGCATTGTTGACATCCATAATGTTTCAGGTCATCCTAATCTTCGCGCTTTTATCAGCCACGGTGGACTTCACGGGATTCTGGAAGGAACCTACCATGGCGTTCCAATTATAGGGACACCACTTTTCGGTGATCAAAAGGGCAACGTAGACTTTTGCGAAAAGGCTGGTTATTGCATAGATGTAAATCTCAATACCATCACTGAAGAGATCCTCTTGGATGCCATTAATAGGGTACTGACAAATTCAACGTAAGTAGTAATGTTTTTTAAATATGGTATAATATTTATTGAAGGGTATTATTATTTTGGAAGTGACTTTCTTAAGTATTTAAAACCTTGGATTAGAATCAGTTTTAAAATATCCATGAATTTGTGATACACTATACAATAATAATTATTAAAATTGATAGAAAAAATAAAAATATGAAAGTTCTACAACCTAAAAAAATGGTGAAAAAACAATCTTCTCCAGTTCAAATCCTCAGTCCATTCCCTGTCCACAAGATCTCGACCTTCTAATCTTTACATGCCTTCTCACAGATCTGCCTCATTCCAAAATTCCTTTGTTGTTCGCTCTGTCAATTTCTGGAATTCCCTCCCTATCAAAATTCGACATTCCCCATCCATATCCAAATTCAAAACCCTCCTATTCCAATTCCTATCCCAAGAACAGTCAGATAGTTGCTAACCATTCGAGCTGATTTTAATAGAGAATTTGATACATACAAATTCATTGATTGATTCATTGATACATTTTTATTTTTTAATTCTTTATTATTTTCTTAAAAGTGTATACTAGTGCAAATAGCTTTAAGTGCCTTGTCATAGTATTAATTGTTTTGTATATAGTTTTGTTTTTTGTATATAGAATGTTTACCTTATATTTTTTTTACATTATTTCTTTTTTTCGATTGATTTTATTTTGGCCAGATGTGATCTTTTAATTTTGTTCTATTTTGTTATTCTCAAGGGACTGTGTCCCAGAATAAAATTATTTTTCTATCTATCTATCTAAAAAAATGGTGAAAAAAAAAATGGAAAATTAAATAAAATCGGAATATTAAAATAAATTCGTTTCCTGCAATACAAACAAACGATTCTCTCAAAAACTTGTGCGCAGTATCTCGGACTATACTTGGACAGAAAACTCTGGAACATACCAAATTTAAAAAAAAAAAAAACAAGAACTGATCAGACGATACAAACAACTGCCACATCTTTTGAACTACAGATCTCCAATCAACTTACGAAACAAGCGACTAATCTACACCGTCATACCTATTTGGAAAAATAACACCATACACAACGAGATGAACATACCAAAAGTAAAATCCTACATACATAACAAATTTACAACATTCCACTCTTCTACTCTTATACAAATCCACTCGTACTGGCTCTTTCTTCCTCCCTGTTACCTGGTAAGCCTCAGCGACGACTTAAAATGTAGTGGCCTAGAGATCTCCTGTTCACAATGTAAATAAATATCAAGAAAAAAAGAGAAGAGAGAATAAACGGCTACAAAATTTGCTTGATGCGTTACAGTGGCAAATATAACGTAAAATAAAAAAAATAGTAATTTTCCTAATAGTAATTTTTTACAAAATATTCATAGTAGTAAATTGATATTTTTTATTGTGATTAACAATATATAATTATTTCTCTGGGAGCTCTTATAAATCAATACTTCAATTCAATTTTAAAATGTTTCTATTTTTTCAAAGACTAGAGCATATCGGCCCGCAACATCTCTATTTTTTTTAATGTATAGAAATTATTTTTTGATATTTACATTCCTACTCTTTTCAGATTTAGAACTTGTTATTCAGATATCAATTGAAATCATAATTTTTGATACAAAAAGTGTTAGTAAGTTTTCCCAAAATCATCTATTAATTTAAAATAATAAACTGTAAACTATTTATTAAAAACAATAACTTTCTCTTTTGATTAAACAGCATTTTTTTTCAATATAATGATCATTTAAAAAGAAATAATAATAATAAAATGTTCAGAATCTGGAGCCCTCTTAGACATAGACTAAATTTGGTTACCAAGAGATTAATATAGACATAATAATTAATATGGATATGTAAACTAATTATTTTGAATATGTCGCAGTAAGCTAAGTATATTTTTACAGTTACAAAGAAAACGCTCTTAGAAGAAGTCAGATCATGAAAGACAGACCCCTGAGCGTCATGGATAACGCAGTCTACTGGGTGGAGTACGTTCTTCGGCACAGAGGAGCTCCTCACCTGAGATCTGCGGCTGTAGAACTGTCTTGGTACCAATATCTGCTCCTTGATGTGATTGTAGTTTGGGGGGCAGTCTTTGTTGTGACTGTATTATTGTTAAGGAAAAGTATTAAATGTATATGTAAATTGAGGAAATCAAAAAGTAAAAAAGACTGATTAAAACCTAGGCATAGACGAATCAAGAGTAAAGTATCAATCTGTAACTGACCTGTATTTTCTATGTTTACTATAATATAATTCCATTTATTATATACTTAATAAATAACTTGTACATTAATTTAAAAAAAATGTTACAGTTTGTTTGTTAATTTAGGCTTTATTTGAGGGTTTGATTATTAATTGTTGCTTCATACTGCTGATATATCTGGTTTTAGAGATAATAGATTTATTCTAGAAGTATAATAAGTGCATTCTTGGAAAATATGATTGATTATGAGAGGGATTTAGCAGTGTGTTTTTTTTTTTAGTTCTTTCCTACTCGCCATTTTAGGCTACACGAGATTACGGGGGTGAGGACGGGGAATTTTAAATCCCCTCCGGCACCGGGACGCGAACTCTTACTCAAATCTCTGTTATCCGGTTGCCTGGCAACTAGCGGTGCTGTGCACACGCTTTAGCCCATTCGTCCACGCCGCCCCCCTGCTTTAGCAGTGATGACAATTTGGTGGTGGCTGTTTAGTGATGAGATTTACATGAGTCAGGTTCGTGTGTCCTATTCTCAACTTGGTCACGGCGACCTCCTCTCCACGATTAGGGCGGTTTGACGTGATCCAGGGCTTCTCTGATTTTTTAACAACTTTCAATTTGCTAGGTGGGCTTTCATTCCACATAGTCTACCAACTATCCAATATTTCCTTTTTGAGAGGAAAACTCATTTCTGGAGGTTTCAGGATAGGAGTACCTCGGTCTGGGAGCGCGAATGCTTGTTTGGCTGCCATATCTGTAAGCTCATTAATAACTATACCCACCTAACTGGGAACCCATATAAAGCAAACCGATTTCCCTAAATTTTCAAGAGAGTGAAGATATTTGTGTATTTTAAGAATAATTGGTTGCTTTGAATACATATGATTTAAACCCTTTAATGAACTCAAGGAGTCGGTTATCAAGACTATTGTAGCTGGAGTTATTGACATACAGAAATGGAGGGCTGAGGCTATTGCGTGAAGTTCCGCTGTGTATATGCTGCTTAGTTTATGTAGTTTTATTTTATGTGTGGAGTTATGGGTAACGTACGCAGAAGCTGTAGCTTCATTGGATTTCGAACCATCAGTGTAAATTAAAAATGGTTCTGGAATATTTTGTAGTAGACGGGAAAATTCGGTTTGGTACTCGTAATGTGAGGTATTGCTTTTGAGTAATCGAGAAAGACAAAGCATCATTTTTAGAGGTTTGTGGATCCAAGGTAGATTTTGGTTTTCTATATTGTATAAAGGTAAGTTCTTAAGGGATTGAACTGCTGAATAAATTCTTTCTGACGGTGGGAGTGTGGAATTTGTTTTGTTTCTAAAAGCGTTTGAAAATTTAGGTTTAAAAATGTAGTTTCTGGTGGGATGATTATTTTGGGGAAGTAGCCTTGAAATGTATTTAACAGCCAGTTTTTTCCTTCTAAATAAAAGAGGGGGTATACCGGCCTCAGAGCAGAGACTGAGGATGGGGCTTGTTCGAAACGCGCCAGTTGCTATCCTAATGCCTGTATTGTGAACTGTATCGAGTTTGTTTAGGGTCTACCAGAGGTTGATACAATTTTATTAACGTAAGTCTGCCTGAGCCCCAGGATTTCTCCAAGCTTTTTGAAAGTTGAAATACTTTAAGGATTGCTTCTCAGACTTTCAAGAGAATAACTTATGGAAGTAGGACTTACTTATACCTAATTAGAAAACCTGAATTGTATTTAATTTACTCTAATGACATTTATTATATACTTAATAAACAACGTGTATATTATTATTTTTAAAAAATATTGCTATAATTGTTCAGAGTATCTTGTCAATAATACAGATATTTATTAAAGAAAAATTAATAGAACTGTCTTATTTCTCCACGTTGTTTTTAAGTTAAAATACTTTAAGGATTGATTCTTAGACTCAAGATAAGTTAAAAGGATAACTTATGAAAATGGATTTTACACTTGAGTAGAAAGCCATGAAATAATTTATCCCAGCATTTTACTTTGTGGCGGTGTCTTTGGTCTCAAATGGGTGTAAAAGTTTCTTTTAATTTTTTGATCGATAGGTTTATAAGGAGAAAAAATGTAACAAATTTTGAGGGCAGCTTCCGAGGCAGTATGTTAAGTTCTCAAAAGTGCGAAGGAAAGGTGAGAATAGTATATATATATATATATATATATATATATATATATATATATATATATATATATATATATATATATATATATATATATACACTGTGTGTTTATGTAAAGCAATAAAGCAAAGATTATATTCCCATGCTTTGAATATATATTTTTTTTTAATTTAAAACCGAAAACCATCCTGACGGTAGAACACATGCCGGTACTGCAGTCATTGTGCACCAATCCCTCTCCCATCTACTCCCACTGCCTACACACGATTTCCTACAATCCACTGCAGTCGTAACCACACTCTCTGCTCATGATAATTCCCTTTGGAATATCACCAGAAAAATCCTCAAATCACATCATATTTCCCACCCTCTTCGACGAGATGATGGCTCCTGGGCAGCATCTGATGAAGATAAAGCCGAGGAATTTGCCAAACACCTTTCCTATACTTTCGCTCCTCATCCGGAATCCCATCCCAGCCACACAGTAAAAGTAGAAGAATCCCTCTCAATATCTATCCCACTCTCCTTACCACCTAAAGCTGTTAATCCCTCTGAGGTCAAATATCTTTTACGGAAAATCACTCCTCGCAAATCTCCTGGATATGATCTTCTAACCTCACAAATCCTTCGACAACTTCCATCTAAAGCCATCATATTTCTCACATATATATACAATTGCATCCTACGAACTACCCACTTCCCTCTTTTATGGAAACATTCCACCATCGTCCTCTTCTTGAAACCAGGCAAACCTTCCAACAATACAGCATCCTATAGACCAATTAGCCTACTCCCAACCCTCTCAAAAATTTTTGAAAAGATCCTACTGAAACGAATCCTACCTATAATTGAATCCTATAACCTTTCTACTCATCAATTCGGATTTCGTTCCCAACATTCCACTGTCCAACAAGGACTCCGAGTTGTTGACCATATATCCTCAACCCTAGAAAGCAAGCAGTATTGCTCGGGTGCATTTCTGGACATAGCGCAAGCTTTTGACCGGGTATGGCTCGCCGGATTACTCTTCAAGCTTAAAATCCACCTACCACAGTCCTTATACCTAGTACTCCGATCCTATCTTTCCGACCGCTCCTTCCGAGTTCGCTGTGGCATCGAATTCTCCGACTGTTACTCAATTGAGGCTGGCGTTCCTCAAGGCAGCGTCTTGGGCCCCATCCTTTACATTCTCTTTACCGCTGATATTCCTGTCCATCCCGATATCCTCCTGGCAACTTTCGCTGATGACACTGCTATCCTTTCTTCCAACTCAGATCCTGAAACAGCGTCCGCAAACTTACAAAGGCACCTCTTCCTGATTGAACACTGGTGTAAGAAATGCGCATCAAGGTAAACGAATCTAAATGTAAACACATTACCTTCACCCTTCGGCGTAATACCTGCCCACCAGTTTATTTAACTCCATCCAGCTTCCTTCTCAGATACAGTCCGGTATCTTGGCTTTCTCTTAGACAGACGACTAGCATGGAATCCACATACTAGACTTAAAAGACAGGAACTTAACAGACGATATGGCCAGCTATATAGACTACTGAATAGAAAATCTAAACTTTCTGGTGAAAACAAATTACTGATCTACAAGACAATACTGAAACCCATCTGGACTTACGGACTAGAACTATGGGAACAGCTAAATTTTCTAACATCAAACGCATTCAATCCTTTCAGTCTAAAGTCCTCCGTACAATAGTCGATGCTCCCTTCTATGTAACCAATAAAACCCTACACCATGACCTTAATATCCCATTTATTCTAGATCTTATCCCAGCCAAATTTTTCAAATTTCACCAGAACCTTTCTCATCACCCAAATCCCGTTGTACAATCCCTATCAAGCACCACCCATCCCTACAATCCCCTTCGTAGGTTAAAGCGGCAGTGGCCACGAGACCTTTTGTAAATATGGATATTTTGGAGTTCTAGCAATGGCCAGATTCTCCACTCAAGTCATGAGTGTCTGTGGCTGTAGCGCTCTTACTCATCCTCCGCTGGTTTAAAATACCAGTGAAGTGGCTGAGGGAGAAGCGTAGGGATCTCCTAAGCCTCCCTTTTCCCTCCACATGTGGAGGGGACAGGATTGGTTCGGAGATCACCTGGCAAATTGTAAATAATGTACATAGGTATGTTTTATATAAGGTGTTTGTTTTACTTTTATTTCAATTTTTATTATATATATATATATATATATATATATATATATATATATATATATTTTTTCTTTACTCTTTTGTTCTTTTTTCTTATTCTTTTGTTATTACTTTATTTATTTATATTTTTGTATATACGGTATGAATGCAATCTCTGAACTCTATTATAAGTGTCCTCCTTCAACTGTGACAAATTGTAATATTTCTGAATAAAGTGTTTTAATATAAAAAAAAAAAAAAACCGAAAACCTTTCATGTCTATATATATTTTTAATATTTCAGACACATGATTTAAATATTCATCTTCAAAAGAGTTGGTATTTTTACTAATATTAATTATTCATTAAAAGGAAAGCGAAAACATAACCAAAACGAGAGAACTTCTCGTCTTTTTTTTACATTTTTTTTAACCCTCTAATCCCAGTTGTGCTCTACCGGATCATCAGCGAAAATGAAGTGTAAAAGTTGTAAAGTTAAATTACAACAGTAATAAAGTAAATAACAAAAGTTTTGTAAAAAAAAGTCTTGTAAATGCGTAGAGAAAGAAGTACTTTGTTAATATGAATAGATTATGAATAGAAGCCTTAGATTAGCCAGAAAGATTTAATTTATTCATGAGTTCTCCGTCGTTTGGCTAGAAAAAAAATAAAAGTAATAAGCCTGAAACTTTATTATTTCGAAG